TTGTAAAATTGTGTTATGAATGAACGAAGACACGAAGTTTGTTATATAGAACGGATTTCCGTCGGTATTCCGTCGGAAATCCGTCACAAAACTCCGACATAACACCCCACCAATCCCATCGGCCACCGCTAACGAMTGGTAACCACTCAAATTTGCCGACATCGAAAATATCGGATTTCCGTCGGTAATCCGTCGGAAAGTCGTCAGAATATTACGACATATTATTTGCCGTCGGAAATCCGTCGGTACAAACGACGGATTTCCGACGGAATACCGACAGCAGATAAGACCGTCGGTATTCCGTCGCAAAATTCCGACGGAATACCGACGGACTAGATTTTAATCGGAAATCCGTCGGTATTCCGTCGTAAAATTCCGACGGAAATATTGGCCGTCGGAATTTCCGTCGGAATACAGGCTGATTTCTTGTAGTGTAATACTAAGAAGTTTGACAAAAAGAAAAGAAAAAAGGGTAATAATTTTTTTTAGAAGGGAAATTGCATCTAATAACCATAAAAAAATTATAATAAAATCTCTAACTAATTAACCTAAATCTAACGGTTAGTATTTTGCCACATATGCTAATTTTTGTTACTTTCTTAGTTATTATTTTTTTTTGGTTATTCATGCAATTAACCCTTTTTTTAAATGTGAATGGTACTGAATAAAAGTAATTACGAAAGTAATTGTGTTTACATCAGTGCAAAAAATCATTAGAACTACATAAAATCAGTGTAAACAATAAATTTTATGCTTGCATTTAGTAAACATAATAAGTAGCATAACGGGTTTTTCCACACAAGAAAAAAAAACATAGTATGAATCTTCTTTTGGACATCTTCTCTGTACGAGACATGAACTTTAAAAGCTGTGTTAAAGCAAAAAGCACTGGGCAGTTGAAACATCTGATAATACCACATCATAATGGAAAAATCATTTCAAAGAAAGAAAGAGAGATTACAACATGTAGAGCTTGTTTAGTCAAATCTCTTTCCTTTTGCCTCCATCTCAAAGGATTATTCAAAGAACACGACCTGGTTTAGTCCTTTTGCCTCCCGCTCACTCGATCAAAGGAGAAAACTTGTGTATATCTTTAGTGTGGAAGCTTAGAACAAGACCTTATATTTGTATTTCTAAAAGGCTCAATTCTATGGTTAAAGAAAACGTATTAAATATTGTTGAGTATTTTCTTGTGTTATTGGGAGTAGG